GTGCTACAAAAATACTGTCGGGGCGTCTATTTCCTGGTGTTGCCATGAAAGAGTCTGCCTGCAAGGCACGTTTGCTGATACACCCACATTGACAAAATGATTATTCAAGTGACCCGCAAGTTCTTTACCAGCGAGCTCGACATTGTCAACGGTAATCTTAGCTGGGGCGGAGTCCCGATTACCGCAACCAAGCACATCATTAATTAAGCGCCAAACAACGTCAGGTGATTGCTGACGTTGTCAGGTGATTGCTGACGTTGAGCTTTTCAGCCATACGGAAAAGTGAAGGGTGTCACATTTGTTACCTTGCAAAGGCATCAATCAACGTACACTGGTACCCGCATTGTCCGAATCGAGATGGCCAAGCCCGCCCCTAACTTCTTATCAATTCAAGGTCACCGTGTGATGCTCGAGTATCGTGGTATCCCCAGAGCATGCACACACTGCAGCAGAGAAGGTCATGTTGCGGCTACTTGCACAACACCCTTCTGTCAACAATGTGGCACCTTCGGCCATAGATCTGAGGATTGTGTGTCCAAGTGTAAGCGCTGTAATGGAGACCACGCGAAGAAACATTGCTTCCGTCCCAAGTCATACGCAGACGCAGCGCAGAGCACCTCAAAGTCACTGAAAGAATTTCCAGAACTTGGAAAGAGTGCTCTGAAGAGACCAACCCAAATTGGAACCTCCAGGCACATGGAAATTTTGCAACGCAAAACCAAGCACCAAGCCACGGCTACAGAAAATTCCAGATTATTGGGATGAAGACAGCGCAACCGACTCAAAATTTATGACGCCAAGACAGAAGACGCCTGCGGCGTTGATGCCGCGTCGCCATGCACAACGAATGACAACGACGTTTCTGCGCTGACTGGGGACACCGCAGCGTTGTCATCTCCTACAACGTCGGAGGAGCTCAGAAACACTGTGGAGACGCCGAGAGCGTCTGCTACGTCTTCATCAGAGGAACTCAAGGCCACAGAAAACCAACAATATTCTAACGCATCACCACTAGAAGAAGCGTCTCAAGCATCTCGGAGTGCTGGCCAACCGGAAAAATCACTTCGACCTTCCGAGGCAATAAGTGCAAGTGACGAGCTCCATGAACGGCCACCTGTGGGTCTGGAAGGTAGCGTGAAGACAAAGCCCACGAAAGAAGTAAAGACCAGGTCTCCAAGGAAATCTAACACGTCTCACACACACGCTGTACAGGCCAAAGAAGAAGCGTTCAACAAGACATCCAGACATCGTAGGAGCTGGTCACCATCACGAAAATTAAGGAGTGACAGATTTTCCCAAGCCTCACGATTGGTATCTTTGTCTCCTGAAAATACGTGTTCTCCCGACAAGTTGTCTAGAGCCACAAACTCTCAGCGTCGCACCAAGCCTGGTAGTTCAAGCAGTGGAAGTGATGTCACCATCTCCGGAACATCCAAAAAGCCCCGAGTGGATTCGCCAAACCTAGATCCTTCGCCTGATGCGGGTGAGGACCTAATGTTTTTTTTTTAATTTGTGCTGCCCACATCCATTCTTTCCGCTTCCTGTTGTCTGTACCGTTGTAATGCTTCCTTCCCAGCCCTACAACCACTATGCATTTGTTGTCTCTGATGCATGCAAACTGTTTGGTATTCCATATGTTACTGTCATTCACGATGGAACCTTCATGTGCAAATTTGTGAGCCCTATGCTGTGGTGGCTATGCCCTGTTATAGTAAATGCATCATGTTAGTAAAGTTGCATGCTGCGTGTACTATTTCTGTTATTGTTGGTGTTGCTTACAGGGTTCGTTCTATCTGTGCGCGTGAGTAGATCTCAGCGCCAGTCCTTCGAGTATCATCCCGTTGACTTCATCCACTGCCGCTTGACACAGGAGAGGCCATACCTCCCCTTACGCATTGCTGTTGAAAAAAGGAAAAAAAACGATTGTTTCGTTTCCCCCTAAATTTATTTCAAATGAATAGGCTATCTTTCATGACTTTCAATGTTCGTGGTTTCAAAGATCTTGTAAAACAACAGGAGATAATGAACCTTGTGCGCTCGCTCGGGGTCGACGTGCTTTTTCTGCAAGAGTCAACTTTCGAATGCGACACGACATCATGACCTTCCGTACTAGATTTTCAGTTGAAGCCTTCTTCTCCTTAACGCAGACGCAGTCGCGTGGCACCGGTGTCGTGTTTCTCAATCCGAGGTTCAGGCAGGGGTGCGCATTGCCTCTTCGATGCAGAAGGCCGTGTTATTGCGGTGGACATGTGGCTAAATGACCGGAAAATCCAATTCACCAACTTTTACGCGCCCGTGGATAGGTCTCTTGCCAATGAGTTTTTAGAGGTACCAGGTCATTCCTGCTGAATTCATCACCGTGCGTGTTGTTAGGTAATTTCAACTGTGTCTTTGATTCAATTCGAGATGTCTGAGACCCTAGTCAAGGACAAAGCACATACCATTCGAAAGAGTGGCAGAAAATAAGTAGAGAGTTGAAGCTGGTCGATGCATGGACAACGCTTCACGGGAACACCTTTGGAGCCACGCGCGTTCAGGGTATGTCTCGGAGCAGGACTGACACAGTCTATATCCCTAATGAGCTTGTTTCAAGTTTAGATAGATGCGATATCATTTCTTTAGCGCCTGGGCAACGCATGCTCAGCGACCTCATGCCAGTGCTGTTCACCTTGAAGACCCAGCTGGGAAGGCACTGCTCCAAGTTGTGGTGAATGGATTCGTCAATTTTAATTGATACAGTTTCGGTATCTGAAATGCGCATGAATATCTATGTGCCTCTGGAAGACCCGCCACAAATTACGCCGACAGTATGGGATCTCTTGAAGGCCAGATGGCGTGTGACTTGCGCAAGAGGCCGGGAAATTGCGCCATGCACGTTTAAAATCACAAATGAATGAAACATTGAGGCGTATTCAAATCGTTGAGCGCACAGATAATCTGACCGGCGCAATTCAAGAGTACATTGGGGCCAAAAAGGCTAAATACGACCTCTTGTTGAGGGCAAGGTCCGGGGCTTTTAAACGCGCAGAGGAACTGCACCTGTCTACGGATGAACTAGGTAACTTGGCATACGCACAGCGAGTAGGGGTAAGGAAACACCAGCCCAGTATTATCGGTGCAGCACGGACAGAGTGTGGGAGCATCGTCACAGATATCAAATGAATCGAGGAGGTCTTCAGGGTGCATTTTGAAAGGCTCTGCTCTCCAGATCATCGCTCCAAAGACAGCAACCAGCATCAAAGAATCGCAGACTTTCTCGAAGGCTTGCCCACGCTGTGTCCTGAGGCGTTCGATATGCTCTGCGCTGAGGCGACGAAAGATGAAGTTTGGCATGCCTTGAGGAAACTGAACACTACCATGGCTCCAGGTCGAGACGGAATACTGACGGGGTTTTATATAACTTTCTTCGACGTCCTAGGCGATGCACTTACTGACATGGTTAACGGGTTCATTGTTGATGGGCAAAAGCCGAGGTCTTTCAGTGAGGGCCGTGTAGTCTTCCATCTGCCTCTAAAAGTTGGCAGATGGAATGATTCTGAAGACTCGTGCGCGAAACGCGGATGAGATTTCAACTGAGAAGGACGCGTGTTTTTGCGCTCCCGTCCTTACTTCGATCTTCGCTCCGCGCTCTTAGCGTGCAGCCTTTTTAAGGGCTACATATAGCGCCTCAGCGAGGCAACCGAAAAAAAACACCACAGCAGGATGCCATCAAGGCAGACTCAGCATAATCTTCAGTGCCAACACAGCAGCAGCAGGCACAATTCAATCCAGCACGCTCCAAGAAAACCCAGCTGCTGAAAGTCAGCTGTCATCACACTGTCACCCTCTCCCGGCTTCGAGCAAAGCGAAGGTGCACACCGGAGCTTCCTCGTCTTCTGCCATGGTTGTGGCTATCTGCGAGGGATACCCCCCTGGCTGTAACACCTCTTCATCCCGTCCTTCAACTACTGCGGCCGCCGAGCAAGTGGCGTCCGCCTCCGGTGAGCGCAGCGTGCCCTCAAGCACGCCTCAGTGCTGTGACAGTCGCCACGTCGTTGGCGACTTTCCTCCGAGTGAATGTGCGGCCACCATCGTCTTTCGAGCCTCGGGAAGATGGCTAACTTCCTGGCTGCGTCGAGGGATGCTATTGCCGCCTTCCTTTCGGGGTTTCCAGCCACCCAGCGAGCGCGGGTCAATTTCCGGTGCAACCTTGTTGCTGTCGACACCCACCCTACCGCCGATCTGACCCCCCCCCACTCCACGTTGGGACGATCTGCGAGACCAAGGTACGAGTCAAACAACTCGACCTGAACACCTGTGTTGGCATGCTTTTTAGAGGGGACCCAACGATCCTCTTCGAGGACTTTATCGACAACATTGCTTCACCAATGCCCCTCGTTTCCGGTGTACACAGAGGCAACTGCATCACCCTCACTCTCGCTGGACCTACCGTCCCGCCGGATGTACTGCTTTACAAGCAAAGGCGCCCGGTTTGACCCCGTCAGCCCCGGCCCCGGCAGTGATCCTGTTGCGGCCGCCTCGGGCCCGCAACCACAAACTGCTCTCGAGGCTAACGGTGCCTGCGCTCTGGCATCAAGCACGACCCAGGATCCTGTGCAGCACACCCTCACTGCGTGAACTGTCACGGAAAACATCCTGCAACCGAGCTGTGCTGTCTATCCTGGTAGCTCTATCGCAGGGCCGTGGTCATTGTGGCCTCCACCGACGGCACCGTGACTCACCGCTAAGCCCTGCAGCAAGCTAGGATCCCTGGCAGCAACGCCTCCATCATCAAGGAATGGTCCTCCCGAGATGCGCTCGCCGTTACCGGCGACACGACCTCAGAGCCCGCCCCTAGTTCTACAACGAGTGAGCCCGTTGTCCCTACTACAACGACGTCGGACCCGCCCTCATCCACAGCTCAGCCGGCCCGTACCGTCGTCGAAAAGCGCTCGACGGCAATGCAGACACCGCGCGCTTTTTCACAACCGCGGGTTCCTGTCACCATCACCAAAAGCAGGATGACTGAGCCTGCTACCTTGACCTCGCAGCAGCCTGGCATCAAAACCAGGAACAGCATCCTGACTGGGCTTACTTCGGGACTTCGAATTCCGCTCAGGGCCCTTCCAGTTGGCTCCCACGAGCACAATTTATCTCTTGTGCCCCTGCTCGCCTTCAAGTCCATGGCTGAACGGTTTGGCCTCTCCCTGGACGAAGCGACTGCATTTTGTAAGTTCTTCTCTGGCTCGTGTTAAAAAATGCACATCACTGTACCCCGGTCTTCTTGGTGGTAACCTGAGCCGACTGCGTGTGGCATACGGGTCTTCTTATTCGCGCGCGCGACTCGCAGTTTTGATGCCCTTTTTTTCCTTTGCCGTTTTCTTGCCTATTTTCTCCTTTCCCTTTGATTCCAATTCCCCCATCCCCTGCGCAGAACTATGGAAGTGCCCTCGTTTGAGAGAGGCAATAACAGAACTGCGCTTATTTCTTCCTTTTTCCATTTTCAAAGTCAATGAATATGCAGATGCACTCGCAGTGGCCTCACACAATTATCCCATAATTTCTATATTGCCCACGCTAGAATTTATTGCCGTGGCACGCTTTGAAAAATTTGTCATGTCAGATCAGTTTGAAAAATCTCGCTTGGCAACATCGGATTTTTCCCATCTTATGTACCCTTAGAAAAATCGATGGCGCTCCTCTAGAACGATGGAGATATCAATTACGAGACTACGATGCCGAGTCCCCCCCCCTGACCATTTATCTACACAGGTCTGGCCTGGCACAGCCTCCCCTATTCCCCCTCTGCAATGAGAGTGAATCGCTTCACCATTTCCTCTTAACATGCAGGTCATACACAAACCAAAGGAAGAGACTGTTAGAAGAACCTCTCCGTAGGTTGGCTCTAAATTTATCCCTTCCGGTCCTCCTCTCCTTTGGAGCAACTGAAAAGGAATTTAGCCACAGGAACATTTGCGAGGCCGTATGCGATTTTATAAAGGGAACCAAACGATTAGAATGTTAAGCTGAGGCATAAATTAACTTTATTTCGAACCATATTAGCCTGTTCGTTCTTTGTACTACCTCTATTTACTTTATTTCTAATCTATCGTTTACCAATTGGTTCTTTGTTTAAACATCATTATCTAAGTATTCCGGCTGGTAAAACAACTCCACCTCACAAATGAGGCACCGTCCGTTTCATGGCCGATCCCCCATAGTGGGTGGCGCCAGGACTCTGAGGAACAACCAACCAACTTCGTTCAACTCGCGCGGAGGACTCGCTCGCTGGATTTTGTGCCGACTAGTTGTGCCCCCGCGATCTCCAACGACAGCGCAGCTCTGGCCGGCTGGCTCACCCTGCGCCATCTCCTGACACCGACAAGAGCTTTCGCTGAGTGGTGCCTCGCCCTCGGACATCTGAGAGCCGCGTCCATCTTTCATATCTTCTCTTTATTTCTGGATGTCGCTATACCTGCACCATGCAGGTATAGCGACATCCAACTCGCGCGGAGGACTCGCTCGCTGGGTTTCGGGCCGACTAGTTGTGCTCCCGCGATCACCGACGACAGCGCAGCTCTGGCCGGCTGGCTCACCCTGCGCCATCTCCTGACACCGACAAGAGCTTTCGCTGAGTGGTGCCCCGCCCTCGGACATCTGCGACCGCGTCCATCTTTCATATCTTCTATTTACTTCTGGATGTCGCTATACCTGCACCATGCTCTCTCCTTCCTCATCTCTCTATTTCTATACCTTTTATTCTTATTCTTTTATTATCTTCTTACCCCCATTCTTCGTGAGCTACTGTTGAGGTGTCCTCCCCCCGAGAGACAGTTACCGGGCTCTTTTATCTTCTTTTCGTTTAGAAATTAGGTTTTCGTTTCGTTGGTGGGCTCGGGGGCTGCGCCAGGTGGGCTCGGTGGCTGCGCCACGAAACAGTCCTGTAACCCGCTCCTGTTCGCCATGCAGGTGTATGCTACGCTCGTCGTCCATCTACTCTCCTCGGCTTCACTCGGTGCCGCCACTGACGGACCAGCAGCCCGCGAGCCTCTGTGGCTCGACACCAGCACGGGTACGAGCACCCAATGCGCCTCCAACCCCAACATTCTGGCCTGTCAAGCGGCGCCCCCACCCGAGGAAGTATGGATTCTGCAGACATCACAAATTTCATCTTCATCGACATCAGCAACAGCTATAAAGCGGCAGCATCCCGGCGCGCCACTCTGTGGGCTCGGTGGCTGCGCCACGAAGCAGTCCTGTAACCCGCTCCTGTTCGCCATGCAGGTGTATGCTACGCTCGTCATCCATCTACTCTCCTCGGCTTCACTCGGTGCCGCGACTGACGGACCAGCAGCCCGCGAGCCGTCTGTGGCTCGACACCAGCGCGGGTACGAGTACCCAATGCGCCTCCAACCCCAACATTCTGGCCTGTCAAGCGGCGCCCCCACACGAGGAAGTATGGATCCTGCAGACATCACAAATTTCATCTTTATCGACATCAGCAACAGCTATAAAGCGGCAGCATCCCGGCGCGCCGCTCTGTGGGCTCGGTGGCTGCGCCACGAAACAGTCCTGTAACCCGCTCCTGTTCGCCATGCAGGTGTATGCTACGCTCGTTATCTATCTACTCTCCTCGGCTTCACTCGGTGCCGCGACTGACGGACCAGCAGCCCGCGAGCCTCTGCGGCTCGACACCAGCGCGGATACGAGTACCCAATGCGCCTCCAACCCCAACATTCTGGCCTGTCAAGCGGCGCCCCAACCCGAGAAAGTATGGATCCTGCAGACATCACAAATTTCATCTTCATCGACATCAGCAACAGCTATAAAGCGGCAACAACCCGGCGCGCCGCTCTGTGGGCTCGGTGGCTGCGCCACGAAACAGTCCTGTAACCCGCTCCTGTTCGTCATGCAGGTTAGTAGACAAAGCTTGGTATTCTCCAAAAAATCAAGCAATTACTGTCTGGTACAGCTGCCGAGCCTGCAGTGTTGTGTATGCATGGCCTTCAAATGCATTGATATCATACATTGCTTATTGCTGTTACTGTCTGGGGACATTGAGTACAATCCAGGGCCCCCTAACAATAGTGCTGTCATTCTCGCTGAACTAAAAAATATATCTTCTGGGCAGGCTAAGCTTCTTTCCCAGGTGCAAGACCTATAAACACAATTGAATACTACAGAAAAAACTATCAGTGATGTAAGTAATAAAATAACGCCGCTGGAAAAACACTACCAAAGCCTCTCAACCGTTCAAACACAAATAACGGCGCTAGAGACCAGTGCAGGCACTACAGCTCGTCACATTCAAACCTTGGAGCCCAGACTTGACGATGCGGAAAACCGCTCGCGACGGAACAACCTAATATTCTATGGTATCCCAGATACTAACCACTCTGAAACTTTCTCTGAGTCCGAAGAACTAATTGTGAGCCTCTGCAGCAAACACCTAAACGTTAAAATTGACACGAAAGAAGTTGAAAGGGCACACCGGCTCGGTCGTCACAAGCCTGGCCAGCACTGCCCGGTCATTTTAAATTTCACATCGTTTAAGACTAAAGAAACGATTCTTTTTGACAGCAAAAACTGAAAAGCACAACTTACGCAATAGGTCAGGATTTCTCTCGTTCTGTCCAAAATGCACGGAAACACCTCATTTCCTTCGCTAGGAGCAAATCCATCGCTTTTTCATGCCCCTACAAAACGTTGCTTCTTGGCTCCAAGCGGTACGTCTTCGATGAAATGTCACAATCCATCAAAGAAATGGCGTAGCAATCCCAAAAGCAACGCCAACCGTCACACCGCCCATGCAATCGATTACGACCCAATATTTCCACCTCCGTAATCTACACTAACGCCCGTAGTTTTCTTTCTAAGCGCGAGCAATTATCTAATCTTGTTTTGTCATCCGACAGCAATATACTCGTCCTCACAGAAACGTGGCTGTCAAGTGACGTTACGGACAATGAAATCCTGGCTGATCTCCCGAATTTTGACGTTTTTCGGAACGACCGCAAAGGGGCTCGAAGGGGAGGTGTTTTAATCGCCACTAGCAAGTCGCTATTGTGCTCAGTTGTCGACATTACATCTGACATTGAAATATTATGGCTTCGTATTCGTTCTACGCCAGTAACTCTGCTGCTTGGAGTGTGCATCGTCCCCCACAAAGCAGTCCAGACTTTCCTGAGAAATTCAACAACATACTGAACTACCTCACTGTTAAACAACCCAACGCGCATGTCCTACTTTTTGGTGATTTTAACTATCCCGATATTGACTGAAAAGACCAAGTCGCTTTGGCAGGGAGCAGTGTTGAAACAAAAGAATTTGTAAACATCTGCTTAAACTTTAATCTCACCCAGCTGGTATCGGAGCCAACCCGAGTGACAAACAACTCAGCCAATATACTAGACTTGATTCTAACAACGCACCCCGAAAGTTTATCGTCACTTACATACCTGCGTGAAATCAGCGATCACAAGGTAATACACTCAGTCTTGAATTTCGACCACTTGTCCCGCAAGCCTCATCCTAAAACTATCAGTCTGTATGATAAAGGAAACTACGAGGCAATGCATAACGAACTTCAAAATTTTTTCCCGGACTTCGAAGCAGACTTTTGGAACAGATCAGTAAAGGACAACTGGACGATTTTCAAAAACAAAGTATGGGAACTGGCAACAAAGTACATACCGAAAACCACATTTCGCGCATCTTGTCAGAAACCATGGTTCACAAAAACCCTGAAGAAACTATGTAATAATAAGAAACGATTGTTTCGGGCTGCCAAGATAAAACCTATAGCTCAGAACTGGGATAAATACTACGCGGCCGAAAAAGCGTATTTTCTCGCCATACGCAGCGCAAAACACTCGTTTTTTCACACAGATTTACCCAAGATTCTAACCAATAATCCCAGGAAATTTGGGAAAATCATCAACCCCCAGCAGTCCCACACGGTTACATTGAAAAATGAAGCTGGCGATAATATGAGTACCACTGACGTCGTTGAACTTTTCAATGCTGCCTTTTCATCTGTTTTTACCAACGAAACCCACATACCGTTCCCTGCGTTACCGAATTGTATCCAATCTTTTATGTCGCCTATCACACTTATTCCATCGGGTGTATTGTCTGTTACCGAAAAATTTAAACTGTCTTCCTCAGCAGGTGTGGACGAAATCAGTACTAAAATTCTTAAAAACACAAAATCTATTTCTTCAGTGATTTTGTCATTATTATTCTCACAGTCACTTCACACAGGCATCTTACCAGGCGACTGGAAGGTGGGGAAGGTCACTCCGGTCTTCAAATGAGGTAACAAAGACAGCCCCCTAAATTATCGCCCAATCTCTCTAACAAGCGTATCTTGTAAAATCATGGAACACGTCATCTACACCCAAATCATTCACTTTCTTGATGCCAATAACTTCTTCCTTCCTTCCCAGCACGGGTTCCGTAAGGCTTACTCTTGCGAAACCGAATTAGCCCTTTTTGTCCAGGATCTGCACACAAGTCTAGATACTAACCTGCCGACTGACGTAATATTCCTGAATTTCTCGAAAGCGTTCGACAAGGTACCTCATAAGCGACTGCTAATTAAACTTAGATCTTTAAATGTACATCCCGATGATTTAGCTTGGATTGAGGAATTTCTAACTAACCACTCCCAGTTTGTTTCAATTGATGACGTGCCCTCTAACCCCCTTTCATTAACATCAGGTGTCCCCCAAGGCTCCGTTCTTGGTCTCCTTCTCTTCTTAATTTATATTAATGATTTAGCTTCGCATGTCTCCTCTAGTATCCGTTCGTTTGCTGACGACTGTGTAATCTATCACTCAATCACTAACCCGACAGATCAAACCGCTATTGAAGATGACCTTAACCAGGTGCAGGACTGGTGTGAAAGCTGGCTTATGAAACTTAACCCTAACAAATGTAAAACAGTCTCTTTCCACCGCCGTAGCAACCCCTCTTTGTTCCTTTACTCAATCGCTAACGTCGCCCTCGAACACGTGCAATCATATAAGTATCTCGGTGTCACCCTGTGCCATGATCTTAACTGGCGCCTGCATGTTACCAACATTATATCATCGGCAAAAAAATCCCTGGGTTTTATGAAACGTCACCTTCGGCACGCCCCGCAGGACGTCAAGTTACAGGCCTACAAATCCCTTATTCGCTCTAAATTGGAATATGCCTCTGCAATCTGGAACCCACACCGAGCATATCTCATCGACTCACTTGAGGAAGTTCAAAACCGTGCTACTAGGTTCATTCATTCTTCGTATTTGTATAATATTAGTGTATCATCCCTCAAAAAAGAATCTGCTCTTTTAAACCTTGACGTTCGCCGTCGCTTTTCCAGCTTTGCCTGTTTCAGAAAATTTTTCACAGCCCATTCCGTCATCCCTACATTGTTCCACCAGCCCGCATATCTAACTGCACTAGACATCCACTTCAAGCTGCCCGTCCACGCATTAGAACGACCACTTTTTCTATGTCCTTTTTCGTACGGACTGCAAACGACTGGAATGATCATCCCCACGACGTCGTGGCCATTTCCTGTCCATCAACATTTTTCGACCAACTGTCTGCACGTCTTTCGCAATGAAAACCCATGTCAATAAAAAAAATAACAGAACTTATTTGTTAACCCACCCCTTATGTAATACCCCGTCGGGGGTCTTTAAGGAAATAAAGTGAAGTGAAGTGAAGGAATAACATAAGCACTCGCGCAATGGAAACTACTTGTAGCTCAAGGTCATCGCCCTACACAATCTGCCTGCGCCCTCTACTTGCGCGGTGCGGCGAGTGTCAACACCCAACTTATTCTTACACCATGACTTGGACCTTCTGGAGTACAACTCAGGCTGTGTGTCTTTTGCCACATTGTGTGTTCCCAGTAACGTATTTGCAATGACCACTGTCTGTGTGCTCTGATGTACCAATTGAATAGCCCTCACGCTTCCTATTTCTGTCATCCCAGTTACCTGAATTTGCACACCGACCATCTCCGAAAGGCGTTGGTCTCGTGTGTGATCCCAGAATCCGGAAATAAATATTCCTCAACTAGAAGGATTTTTTCGTACAATGAATGATGCTTTGTGCTGCAACAAGCTGGTTGTTAATGTTTCTCTGTAGATGTTACGCTTGGTCCTTCAGATAAAAAATAAAGAATATTGATGCGATTACACGCGTCGCGTAACTACCTTTATTGTTTCTTGAACGACACGCGTTTTCTCATTTGCGAAATAGAAACAGATAAACAGACGAAATGAGTGCTCTGTAAGTCCCCAAAAAAGAGTGCGAGGCTGAAGCGCTATTTCTTCCACTTTTTTATTTTGTCTGATTTTCTGTTTCATGGTACATGTGCACAAAGTTGCGACTCTGTAACGGAAATAAAAAGGAACGGCTGCGGGATAGTCTGCATACAGCCAAAAAACATGAACGCAAATCGAGGCTTCACTGCTGTAATGAAAATAAATCAGAGTTTTTGAGCCATATACGTATAATATTTACAAAGCCGCCAGCAGCTTGAAGCGCGTACCTTGGTTGTGGTTGCGCGCAGCCTAAAGACATTGAACGAGCACAAAATAGTAATTCATTGAAAGCTCTCTCTACTTCAAGCTCATTTTATGCACAGCACATAATCTTAAGCTGTAAAAAAGGGCTAAAAATGGGATGTCAAAGTAAGGCGCCGTAATGTCGTCTGTGATCTTTGCCAAGGTCAGTTGTTAACACAGTTATTCCTGATTACGCCAATTCAAACTGGAAGTGCATTATTTCACAATATCTGAACTAGTACTGGCTTCATTATGTGTGACTCGGTTCATATTCTTTTATGAAGACGCGTCAGCTGGTGCATATTTGATACTTTTTCCCTGGAACATGACTTCACGACGTGTTTCGAGATCCAAAACACTGTTGTCACGCAGCAGTAAAAGTAAAACTAAAGCGTGCTCGCACAGGGGCGCATATACTTTTATAAACACTAGATAATGTTGCAGTCAATTACGATGTCTTAAAGACATACAGGTGTATCATTATATCCTACGTGAGCCATGACGTGGATCACGTCACGTCACCCATGAATTGTGAAGGCAGAAAAACAATGAAGGTATGCGTCAGAGATGAACAACTCTTACAGAACGGATGGGCTGCTGCATTCGACGATAAGCTAACAAATGAGGCTATATAACTCAACCGGGTGTTTATTTTACTGTGTCATATGCACTCTATATTCGTCACAGACGTAACACATACTACAAAAATACTAAAAATCCAAAACCGGCGACATACCTTCACTTAAAATCTTGTCTGTGCTTTCCCTCTTGAACACCACTGCCATAGTCACGTAAATATCCCTAGCAACCTGCCACTAGAAATAAATTTCACGTGTAATTACGTTCGTGTTTGAAGGCTGAGCAGCCATTGTTTCAGCCTCACCAGGGCTAATCTGCAATTTCTTGCTGGGTAAAACCTGCTCGTTTTTTGGGATCAGCTCCTTCTTACGAGAAATAGTAGTCATTGGAAGTTGCACATATTCAACAATAATATTTATTATCCTTTTACTGGATAATCAGCCTAACATCAAAAGTATATATATCAATTATTAAGTTCAAGTGGTTTTGTCTAATGTGCTACATAGCTGTTGCTACTAGACGTTACTCTGAAAGTGTCGAGGAACTGGAGTCTGCAACAAGTATTTTAAAAGCACTTCACATGCAAAACAATTTTGCTTGTCTTCCTTTGTGCTGTTGCAGGGAATGACAGTGAAATAAATATTGAGTTCTTCAGCCATTCGCTACCCTGTTTGCAATATAGCGTTTTGTAGTTTTGAACTACAGCGTCAGCAGTTGTTCGGCTTCAGACTTCCAACGTGGAATGCTTGTGCAAGCAGAGTCAGTCATCATAACGATTCTTGCACCTGTTCCAAAAAAAGGACAAGAGCAGCAATCAAAGCATGGTATTTCACCAGCAGAAATGAAGAGCTGGCAAAGTTAATTTACCGAGTAAGCACGCTGGCGTTAGAATTTTCGCTCTTAAGAAAACTGGTTACAAACACCAGCGGCACCATGCTAATAGTGAAAAGTCTTCCCACTCTACACGAGCCAGAAACTTGGCCACATAAATTGCGTGATGCCAATATTGCATCGTTATAGCACGGCACTAATAAAATACAAAGGTTTGAAGCATAATCAGTGGTCATTAGCGTAGCCACTCTGAAGAATGCATGGTTGCAGATCCTTGCCATTGCTACATTTATTATTGGTAGATATGCTCGCGCGAACGTACAGATACATACACGGCAGATCAAAGCCCTTATCTCCTATCCCCGCCTGCCATTCCCCCCCCCCCTCCACTACAAAAAGTCCGCTAAGCCTGCGTGGAGCACACAGCATTGTCGCAGCACGAGCTGGTAGAGTGGGCTTTCTAGAGCATTTTTTATACATTCTTTGGGTATCTGTTGAAAGCGCACTTGCAGGGTGCCCACTACTCAAAAAGTCATATTTTCGTGTTGTAGTGAGGCACCCACTATGCTATTTTCCGAAGTTGCGTCGTAGCCGCTATACACTTTGAAAAATTGTGCAGTATTTTGTTTCTGGATCTGACGTAAGATGAATAATTATGCTTAAGATAATGTAATTGGTTGGATTATTCGACGACCCACTCGTTACGTGATTCGCACTAAGTGATGCCTGGTTGTTTTTTGATGTTCTAAAACGCTTTCTTACGTACAATACCATAATTTATTTCCAGACATATAGCCTTCTTAAAGTCACTTTGCCTTTGAATGCCTGAGCAGTGGTTTTGCGATTATTGTAGCTAACTGAATGCATCACTAGGTCATAATATATGTCATATTTTTAAACACGCAGCACAATAAACATCATATAAAGGGAATACCAGTGCAGCTCTGTAATACATACTGAGCTAGCACTTAGATGACCAGGGTTCGAATGCTATTATGTTCTTGGATTTTATGTTTACTTAGTTTTCTTCTTATTTTATGAGATAGTGTTACAGACACCGGCGGCTGTGGACAACAACAGTGCAACGGCACTTGTTTTTATCTCATAACAACTTTCACAGTATAATTCTGGCTAAGCCCCGCAAATGGTTTATATTTGAGTCAAAGAGCAATTTTCGCTTGAATATCAATCAAGTGTTATCCTCCTCTCTTGCTACCCTTCCCCGGTGGTCATGTGACTAAGGTACTCGGCCGCTAACCCAGAGGTTACGGGATGGGGTCCCGGCTGCGGAGGCTGCATTTCCGATGGTGGCAAAATTCTGTAAGCCTGCGTGCTTAGATTTGAGTGCACGTTAAAGAACCTCAGGTGGTCGAAACTTCCAGAGCCCTCCGCTACGGCGTCTCTCATAATCATATGGTGGTTTTAGGACGTTAAACTACACATATCAAAATATCTTCTCTCTTGCTTTGATATTTTATTACACTATAGTTTTATAGACCATTGGGCCTGCTTGACTCATGCAGTGTTCGCAATGTGTCTCGCCAGCGTTACCTTATTGACGAATAGCCGTAACAACGACAGGCCCTCTGCAGCTGAGGCGGACAACGAATGCTACAGTCAGTCTTATCCACCATTGTGAACTATTTCACGCAGATCTTGTATTTCGAGATAAAATTATTAGTACTCGTTTTTAAAAATCTGCAGACGATGAACTTCCACCACAGTGCTCTATAAAGTAGGCGACAGAATACCAATCTAGAAGGGTAAATGACAAGGACATACAATATTTCAATGTTATTGACCACGTGTTAAGAGGAGGTTTTCAGAGGCCTAAACTGGGAAGAGTTAGGGCTAAGAGTTAATAGAGAGTACCTTAGTAACCTTCATTTCACCGATGACACTGCACTTCTGACTAACTCATAGGACGAATTGGAACTCACGATTACTGAAATATACAAGGAGAGCAGAAAGGTAGGTCTTGAAAACAATCTGCCGAAAATGAAAGTAATGTACAACAACCTCGGAAGATTAGAGTACTTCGAGATAGGTAATAGTGCACTTGAAGTTGTAAATTACTACGTGTTCTTGAGACAGGTAATAACCGCAGAGCCGTTCCATGAGATTGAAGTAACAAGAAGAATAAAATTGGGGTAGAGCACATTCCGAAAGCACTCTGAAATGATGAGTAGTAGATAGCCGTTATCCCTCAAAACGAAGATATATAGCAGCTGGATCTTGATGGTACTTAACTATGGAGCAGAAACCTGGAGCCGTACTAAGAGGGTTCAGCTTTAACTGAGGAGGACACAAGGAGCGACGGAAACGAAAATAATAGGTGTAACATTAACAGACGAGAAGAAAGCAGAGTGGGTCAAAGAACAAACTGGGGTTAAAGATATGAAATGTGAAATCAACAAGAAATGGACATGGGCCGGTCATGTAGCACGTAGGCAGGATAACCGCTGATTATTAAGGAAAATAACTGGATTCCCTGACAACGCAAGCGGGTTAGGGGGAGACAAAAAAGTTAGGTGGGCAAATGAGATTAGGAAGTTTGCAGGTATAAAGACAGCCGGCAGCACACAACCGACTTGGCTGGCGGAACATGGGAGATGTCTTTGTCCTGCAGTAGACGTAGTCCGGCTGTTTATGATGATGATGGTGGGGTATTTTAAGTGCTGCGTATATATATCTCAGGTGATCTCCGGATTCTGGAAAGCAGCTATATGAAGTGCTGGCGGCAACCTACGCCTGGTTGTTCTTGACTCAAACGGCCTTCATTGATGGCGAGAGATGTGTGGATTAGACGCGACAAGTTATTTTGTAGCTGCGTTCACCTGTACTTACCACAGATATTCTCCAGTCTGCCTCCGTAGACAAACGACAGTTCGAAATTTGCCTAGTTGCTGGTGTCTACCGGCTTCGAGTCGGTGCAAGTGGTACTGGCGGGCGAGGTTCGAGAGGTGCAGCAGCTACCACTGCAGATGCGATCGCCGCGTCTTCCAGCCTCAGCGTCCAGACGAGTCGGGGAGGCCTGGGCTGGCTGCCCACTACGGGGTCGCTCAGAACCTGCCACACCAGTCGGGCCACGCGCTGCGGCGGTGGTGGCTGACAGTCTTCGGCTCGCATGCGGAGCTTCAGTGGAATGCCGTCGGTAAGTCGTGTCCGTAGTCCGCAGTACGAGACTCTGCAGGAAAATGGCACTTCCATTGTAAATCGGTAACATGAAAAGGCGCTGCGCTAATGTAGATTGCACTGCGTATGCTAAATGTCGCGATGTCACTTGTTCGTTTTTGCTCTGGCGTGACAGAGTCCTTGATGAATAAAAGTATCGACACTTTGAATGGTAAAAACGTACTAATTAGTCATATAACAAAAAATGGCGAGGACGTATATCTGCGTACGATCATCTCTAATCGTGAGCATCGACATACGTTTTATGCACTAGTCACTTTGGTGAATAGTATGAGAGGGGAATCAATGCAAATAAGTTTTCTATTTATAAGGGTGAATAGAAGAAATAATACGTCAGTACAGCAAATAAAACAGACAATTTTTAATGCAGTCTGGGATGGCGTGTATTCTCGGCTTCGTAAAACTCTGGCACCAGAGTTCACAGCATGGTCACGCCCTTATTCAATATCGTATCGCCGTGCCAAATAAATTTCAGAAAACACAGCTGAAAGTGTCCAGAGAAGATCGTTTCTCTGCAACAGCGCTTTGCGAATACATTGCAATATTTTTGGACTTGTTACTTGTATACAAGAAGCAGCCAAATTACAAAAAGCCCCTAACTCTAGCATGTCAGTTCAAAGTGTCTTTAGGGAGGCTATGATTGACTTGTAGACAATGGTCTATTTTTAAACGATATGCGCGCCTTGAACACGCCATGTAAATGATATGTAACAGCTGCATTTCGATCCAACGAGACCTACGGCGACAGTTAAAACGACGGTGACAACACACATTGCGCGAGCCTATGGAGCTTCACTCTCAAAGACGTCATTTAACCTCTGCCACGCATGAATGACGTCATTGACTTACTGCACTTTGCCCCCTTTTTTCTGTTTTCTTACGTTCTGCGTATTGGCCAATTCTTATGCAGCCATCAGACAAGCAGAAAGCTGCCTTCGTAGCACCTGATGGCCTTCTTGAGTTTGACGTTATGCCCTCAATTTTGTGCAGTGCTCCAGCGACATTCACGTCTTAGGTATACCGTACCCTGTCGACTAAAATGGGAAACTTAAATGTGACATCATTATTTATGGAAGCGCTTTTCAAAAACACAACCACCGCTTGTCGCTTGTTCTTTATTGCCTAAGGGAAGTTGGCGTTGTTTTAAACTCTAAAAAGTGTTCTTCTGGCAAACATATAGCCATCATAGTAAGTTTCTTTAGATAAGAGAGAAGGCATAATACCAGACCCACAGAAGACCTCAGTAGCCTCTAGGTCTGAGCAACCTTGAGCAATGAAGATCCAATGACGTTTTTGGGGTGTTGGCTGATGTTCTACCTTATATGTTTGGAACTTTGAACAACCCCCTTCTGAACTGGTGTCTCTTTATTTGTTAGATACTGCCAACTCGCGGGATAGTAACGTGACGCTTAAATGTAAATATTCGACAGAAGTCTGTCTGCATGTCGACGTGACGCTGCATTTCAAAAGCTAAAATATTGGTGCTTTTAAGACCTATCCTCGAAATATTGATCACGTAGATTTCATTGAAGTGCATTCCTCTGCTAGTGGACTTGTGTTTGGTGCTGTGCTAGTCCAAATCCCCAGTGGCCGCTAGTATGTTTACGCTTACGTCAGTCAAATATTAACCAGAGCAGAGAAGTACAACGTCGCCGAGCTCAACTGTCTAGCGGTCATCTTCGCTTCTCAGCAGTTGTGAGTGTCTCTGCATGGCCGTGAGTTCACGATAGTAGTCGATCATTACTCACTATCCTGGCTTGTTGTAGTCCACGACCTGTCTGGTCGGTTTGCTCGATAAGAGTTGAGCTTCCAAGAGTACATCTTTTCTGGGACCTATCAGCCTACGACATTGAATGATACCATATGGATGCAAACTGCCTATTCTGCCTTGCTTCAGAGCACACCAAGTGCTGATGATGACGGATGACCATTTAGTTTCTGTCACGTCCGCCTTTCCAGACATCAAGTTCGGGAGGGAGCAACAACAGACCATACTTGAAGCGCTGACTAGAAGCTGCGTATCAGTCTTCCAGAAGGAATCTAGAATTTCGAATGGCTTGCTGTACACGAGGAATGAATTAGCTGAAGGTCTACTGTACTTAAGTGCAAAGCATTTTTAGCAAACTTCGGTGACTTCGAGCCTATCTTTCTATCTATCTATCTATCTATCTATCTATCTATCTATCTATCTATCTATCTATCTATCTATCTATCTATCTATCTATCTATCTATTGCCGGTACTTAGCTATGCAGCAGAAACCTGGAGACTTACAAAGAGGGTTCAGCTTAAATTGAGGACGACGCAGCGAGCAATAGAAAGAAAAATGGCAGGTGTAACCTTAAGAAACAAGAAGAGAGCAGAGTGGATTAGGGAACAAACGGAGTTAAGAATATCATAGTTCAAAATCAAGAAGAGTAAATGAACATGGGCCAGGCATGTAGCACGTAAACAGGATAACCACTGGTCATTGAGGGTAACTAACTGGATTCCCAAAGAAGGCAAGCGGGTTAGGGGGAGACGGAAGGTTAGGTGGGCAGATGAGATTAAGAAGTTTGCGGGTATAAATTGGCAGCAGCATTCACTGGACCGAGTTGCCTGGCGGAACATGGGAGAGGCCTTTGTCCTACAGTGGACGTAGTAGGCTGATGATGATGATGATGATCTATCTATCTATCTATCTATCTATCTATCTATCTATCCGCCTACGACTTTTGCTCTCCTCGCCATTTGGATATCGGCATCCATACCAAACTTGCTATGGCATTACATGACTATATGACGAGCGTATTTGACTAGTGATAACATGAAAATTATGACATGTATGTTATGATTGTCATGATTTACATTTCATAGTCTTGCTGCCCTTGCGGTAGTTTTGTTCACATCACATGTTGCAAAACTGGTTTCGCATGACATGATTGCATTGCCAACACAAGCGACAGACCCTAACATGAACAGCATGACATGCGTGTCATGTAACAACATGACTACATGCCACGCTCATGATGCGCTCGCGGCCGTTCCGCTGGCGCCACATATAGCAAATTTGGCATTACAGTACGTGAATATATGGCAAAGGTATAAGACTGGTGCAAACATGATAAACCTTAGATGCGTGTTATGTAACAACATGACTACGTGTCACGCTCATGATGGACTGGCGGCCGTTTCGCTTGCTTCCCTTGTACCAATTTTGGTATTACGGGACGTGATTGGATGACGAAAGTCTGAGACTGGTTCAAGTACGATAAATATGGCATGCGTGTCATGTAACAACAAGACTACATGCCACGCTCATGATGCACTGGCGGCCATTTCGCTAGCTTCACATGTACTAAATTCGGTATTACGTGACGCGAATGGGTGACATCAGAAAATGACACATCCAAACGTGACTGTCAAGACATGCGTGTCATGTAACAATATGACTGGATGCCACGCTCATGAAGCATTCACGGCCGTTTCGCTAGCTTAGCATATGTCGCATATGGTATTACGTGACATCAATTATTGGCGAAGGTATGTGACTGGTGCACACAAGATAATCACAAGATGCGTGCCATGTGAGAACATGACTACATGCTCCAGTCAAGGTGCCAATGCGCTTCGACGTGACCCGGCGTGCATGCGCCCGCGTTTCTTTTCGTCGTGTCACGCCGGCGTTGCCACGCCAGGCGCCTGTCTTGACATATACTCGCAGGCGAAAGCCACACTGTGTTGCTTTGACACTTCCGCGTTTCAGTGCGTTCGGCGTCCCTCCGTCACGAAAAGAGGTAGACACAGTGCTGTCTGGGTAGCATCGACGCGAAATACAGCGTGCGCATTTCGCGCCGGTTGCCGTCGATAGGTGGTAGGTGTTCTGTGGCCGTGCCGACGGGCGCTGGTCGCACCGGTCGCACCTTGCGTCAGACTATAGAGCGCTCGCGTTTTGCTGACGCAGCTTCACTGTGCCCAGCATGCGCGCACGTCAACGTTACGTTGGAGTATACTGGCCACTTCATGGTGCACTCTCGGCCGTTTCGCTAACCCACGTATGCCAAATTTGGTCTTACGTGATGTCAATAGATGACGAAGGCATATGAGTGGTGAGAACATAATAATCATGACACGTGTGTCATGTAAGAACATGGCAACATACCAAGTTAATAGCGTGCTCGCGGCCGTTTCGCTTGCTCCACATGTATTAAATTTGGCATCATGTGACGTGAATGGATGACGAAGGTAAACGACATATCTATACATGATAATCATGACACGGAAGTTTTGTATGGTGTAATTAACCTCCACTTCGTAACGTTGTGGTAATATTAAAAAGACATATCAACCTTCCTCATTCGTGCTTCACATATCATCAATTCCCACTGTACTAGGGATCTGCCATTTTCTTTCTAGTGCTGCTGTAAAGCTTTCGCCCAATCCTCTTCATTCTGTACTCTATGGCAAAGCTTACAGTCTTCCTGGGTACCCATTTGCGCTACACTGACTTCATGGGAGACCCACTGGCCAGAAATCTGAAATACCAACAAATTTCGCGCTGTTTCTCAAAGTAATGCATCGGGGAGTTCCACAGGTTGTCATCACATACCACGGAGAGCTATTAACCATCGACGTTGCCGACGAAATTCCGCGTCTTTGTGGTGATTTTGTTGTGGAGAAAAGAACAATCCCCAATCCACAGCGAAGTCCACCCGTCGACCTCTTGTTTTTGTTCTTGTTGTTAATGATGATATCAGCACTCCTTGTTTTCTACATAATTTTCTACATCGCCGGCGCCCCCCGCCCCCAGTAATGAATTACGACGGAGACCTCTAAAATCACACATGGGTTTCCAGTACACATTGTTTATGATGCTTTCAATGTTTATGATGATTTCACTGGTTATCTGAATATATTGCTGCTTTGCTTGTATGAATTCGTTGCATCTTTTTTTGTTGTTGTTATCGCTGCAATGCCTCATATGTGTTCATTGTAACCTTTTTTTTGTATTTAC